CACACACACACACACACACACACACACACACACACACATGCACAGTGTCTACGAGTACCTATACTTTAGGCTTCAAGCTTCAAGGACAGGTACATGGCTGGTGTGCGGGATTACGTATGCAGGAACAACACATGGCATACTCATATATATCGTACATGTAGGCTTGAGTTTGAGGAGCTGATGTAAGGGCTTGAGATGCTGAGTATATGGGGTTTAGTGATAAAATGTAAGGCCAGTTTCCAGCAAGGTTATGGGATCCAGCATCCCTTCTAAACATCACAAGCCAGCGTACTCTTTCCTGGGCCCAGTACATTGGGGAGCAAAAATATTATGAAAACACACAAATCAATAAAACCAAAAAACCTCTCGAACACTGCCCTTTCCTCTCGTCTTCTGCTCCTTATTCATCACCCTAGTCTTTGTTGTCACTGTTGCCTTCCCACACACACACAATCGCACCTCCCCCCCCCGACAGTCTGCCGGGGGTGCATTTGACTTATGGATAAGGACTCACCACATCACCTAGAGTTAAGCAATACCCCTGAGAAAAGTATTCAGCTAGAGTTAGCAATACCCCTGAGAAAAGTATTCGACTTCACTCACACCAACCCTGCACTCATGTGTGCATGTGTGTCCGTGTTGTCATGTTCACAAAACGCAACTCCAGAAGAAAAATCCTGACCGTGCCAAGCAGTTTCATCGACTTTTTCACAATAACAAAAAAAAGAAGGATGCACTCCCAGGAAGGGACTTCCTTCCCTCCTTGCATCTGGGGCCAGAGGATGCAAAGGGAGGACTGTGTGTGCCTTCTCACTTGTCACGGGTGGCCAGGTCGAAACCTTTCTCCCCCTTCTGACACGGGGAGATAGGGGGAGAAAGGCCCCCCTCTTTTCGTCTTGTGTTACAAGCGGTAAGGAGTGCGCAGGATCCTACATAAATGTTTGAAGAGCAGGGTAATGAAGATCCGTCCTACGTCAAACAAAGGCAAGGAAAGCAACGATTTCACAGTTCAACCGCGTAGGCATCAAAATGGAATTAACCTGTAAAGGGCCACGAAGAAATTCCCGGACATATCAAAGCAACTCGGCTAAAGCTGGATGGGGTTTCGAGAATGTGAGCTGAGACCTTATGCTAAAGGGCTTAACGTAACCATTGAGGATTTCGGTTTGCGCCTTCCGGTGGCGCGGGGGAATTGCACAGCGTATATCAGCTCCACACTCCCCCTCCAGACAACCAGTCAAAAGAAGTACCTTCACAGGAGTATTGTGCGTGTGACAACAGTGTCGTCGTGAAGTGTTGAGTGCCCAGGGGCATAGCTCAGTTGCTACACCAATCAATTGAGACCCGAGTTCGAATCCAGATGCAACCAGATGACCAGAATAACATCATTCTGAATTACCTGGGACCGGTCAGTTCAACGATGATATCTCAAGGCCGACACCCTTCTTAAAAGAAAGAGAAAAAAGGAAGTCCAAGGTTTTGGATTTAGTTATTTTGTGTATGCGAACGTTATTCACACCGTCTGAGGCTCCAGGAGATTTGGGGGACACCAGAGTGAACGCGCTGTGGGTCTAAGGTCCAATGAAGGGTTGAATTCTAGGGTTTATACAACAGATGTGGAATAGGATACAAGGGGTTGAGGGGTTTAAGCATTTCAACGGGGTCAACGGGTTGACTGGTTCGACGGGTCTGAAGGGTTTGAGGGGGAGTCCAGGGTGTTGAGGGGTTTAAGGATTTTTTTGGGTTTGAAACATTAAACAAGCCTGGGGTTTGGGGTTAGGTTTTATAAACCCTCGACACGCCGGGCACTTACAGTGTTACATGTCCCATAAGAGCCCTGACAGAGCCCACACAGATAGGGGCAACCAGCACACAGCCCAGCATCTCTAGCAAGCTCACAACAATACTAACAGATAGGCCCGCAAGAGCCCTGAGCTAACCATAGATGCCTCCATTAGAACTTGATAAGCATCATTGGGACAGTATACTGGCAACTGCAGACCTCCCAGAACCAGAAACGGACAACAGAAGGAAAACAACGGGAGGGGAGAAGAAGAACAGCAGGAAGCAGGCGGGTGGAGTCAGCATACATGCATGTGAATCTTCATCGGAAGGAAACCAAAAGGAGGGGAGAAGAAGAACAGAAGGAAGTAGGGGGCTGGAGTCGGTATACATGCATATGCTTCTTCATCCGTCTGTGGGGATCAGGGAGCGCAACGACAGATTAGGAGGGTTTAGCTATATTGGAAGGACAAGGAATGTGGCAGAGGCAAAAGGTTGGAGAAAGGAAGAAGGGGTAGAATGCCCACCCTTGCGCTTCTGAGTCATTGGCTTATCTGCACATGGAATCCACATTTCCGTGTGGTTAACCCATTCTGTCCATAGGCCATCAATCTCAGGATGCGACTCACCCTGCAAATTTGAAACCAATATCGGATCAGACTTGTGTCAAACCAAGCAAGCAAACAAACAAACGGAGCTCAGGTGACATACACACCACGTTCCATGTCATACACAAAACACCTGTGATCAGACTTGTGTCGTCATTATACACAGTGCTGCCCTCACTCGCCAACAAATTCCTAATGTTTTCTAGGAGTGCGCGTAGATAGCTCATCTGGAGTATCTCAAGATCATACCTGACCCATGAGATCTTGATGAGGTACTCTACTGTCTCATTCACTGGTGTAGACATGTGAATCTCAAGCATACGGAGCTCGACGGCAACCTTTTGTGCAGCTGTCTGATTGCGGACCGTCTTCTCTACCGACCCCACGAAATCCTCCAAGGTCTTGATCCTCGCCCAAGCCTCAAATCTCTCCCGAAACCATCTGTTGCTACAACTCCAATCAGCCATGCTGTGGCGGAGGCTTTCAGTAATGTTGATGCTATGATTATGTCCCTGTCCTTTTGTGTCTTTCAATCCTGACATACAATGGGACTTCTTTAACCAGGTGTCAAATTCTGACCCCCCTTTTTCCCCAGTACAAGGGTCCAGTTTCTCCAAAGTAGTCTTGACGACTGTGGGGTACAGTAACAGTAATAGGGGGTCAGAATTCGACACCTGGTCAAAGCAGTCCCATTGTGCCTGATGCCAGTGCTGGCCCCAAAATGGCCAACACTGGGATTGAAGAACTTCGCACCACAACTTGTGATGCAGTACCAGCAGTCGTGCCAGAAGGCTGAGGCATGCCGAACAATACCACCTAGCACCGGTGATGGTTTAGGGGGAACAAGCGACCTAGGTGTGACCACTGTTGTCGTTGGGACTGCTGTTCTAGACATAAGTAGGTCCAACTGAGCATGGATTGACCCAATGTAGCCCAAGTTCACTGTAATCGTGGCCTTTTCTTTCTCTTCGAATGTCCCCACCACCCATGTCTCCAAGTTCTACACTTCCGCTGCTAGTATCTCTTTGCGTGCCTGTTCACCTATTTTCTTTTTCTTCCTCCACCTTTGTTAATCTAAGTTCTTGCTGCTGCAGACATGGTTTTGCTACCGCCCACAGACTGACCAGAACCTGATCTACTGCTTATGCCCAGCATAGCAGCTTGAGCACTGAGGGTGACCTCATTGCTAACATACCTGCTTGCGCCTGTCTTCTGATTACACGGTTCCCACCTTCAGGGAGGCTTGAAACACAGGTTCTTCGAGCAGTACGACTGCTAAGTGCTATTCTATAATTCTATTGTCAATCTGGCATGCCCTATCACTCATTTTGGAAACGACCCCCAGCACAAGATAATATGTTCCTGCCTTCTACTGTTCACTAAGTAGTCGATTGAGTGTGTGATAACAATGATGACCCAAGAAGACTGACACTAGTTTCAGCATCACTGCTATACATACATACAAGTCCTCCCAAACTCCATGCTTATTACCTAATTCTAGGGGGATTACTTATTAGTTTTTAAATCGTCCATTCAGATTCAGAGCATACCCCATGTCTATCTTACAGCTGATCAAATAGCAACAGTAAATGCTAACAAAAGGAAAACATGACAAATGATGCTGAGTACTCAGTTGGAATCCACCCCCATACACGTTCACTGACTTCCACTCCCACCCCCTTAAATGGCAGCTAACATTTATGTCTGAGGGCAGTGTCTTACAGGAAAGTCCACCCCAGTGCATTCACAACTCGGCAACAATGGCCAGTACATTCCCCGTACTATTTATAGTCGTGCACAGAACATCTCCTGGCCAATTCACCAATTGCCCCTGTAGCGCATGCTGAGGCTGGTATGTCTGCACATGCATGCGTGATGTAGTCCAACATTACCCAGGGCACTTCCCATGCACCGGCCTTCTCCCACCAGATGCGCCAAAAGAAGGCTGACTATCGTCTTCCCCCGAACACAACGCACCCTCATTTTGGCTGTATCTGGCCGGAAGTATAACTCGTATATTCATTTTTAGGGTGTGTTATGTTTGGGGGAAGACGGTAATGTGCACTCGCAACTCGCAATAAGAGGAGTGTCAAGTGAAATACCACCCCAGTGCGTTCACAACTCGGTAGCAATAGCCGGCACCTTCCCTGTACTATTTATAGACGTGCACAGAACAACTCCTGGCCAATTCACCAATTGCCCCTGTAGCGCAAGCGGAGGCTGCTATGTCTGCACATGCATGCATGATCTAGTCCCACATCATGCATGCATGTGCGTCGTCCACTCTGAGAACTTCCTGTGCACCGGCCTTGTCCCACCAGATGTGCCAAATGAAGGCCTACTCTCCTAGGTAGTGTGCACTCGCAACTCACAATAAGAGAGGACTCTCAAGTGAAACGCTCTTCCTCAGGTTAGGAAGAGTAATGTAGGGTAGATAATGTCAGGGACACTTACTTGATGATGCTACCCCCAACCACAGATTATCTCACCAATGCGACAAACGAAGGCCTACTCTCCTAGGTAGTGTGCAATCGCAACTCACAATTAGAGAGGACTCTCAAGTGAAACGCTCTTCCTCAGGTTAGGAAGAGTAATGTAGGGTACATAAGCTCAGGAAACACACACTTGATGATGCTAGCCCCAACCACAGATTATCTCACCGACTTCACATAATCCGTGCTTCTTCCACGCCTGCGCTCTCTACCCAGCACAGGAGATCGTTCACCACCCAGTGAGAACGTCAACAACACCGCCGACGGCACCTTCCAGTACAGCCAGCACCATCAGTCGTGACTGGCCAACGTTAAGATACCCTGGTTAGAGAGCCACGCTCTGGTACCAAAATGCAAGGGACCAACCAATGGGAACACGAATTTGCCAAGCTGCAAAAGACTCAAAGCAGGACAAGCACAAGTCGAAATGTGATGACCCGACCAAACACGGACTGAAACACACGGCTGATTTCTGAGTTTTGCTCATGGACTGAATGCCTTGCTGAGTTTTCCGCTTGCTACCAAGTCTGTGTGTGTGCACGCTTGCTGGACTGCATGTCTGTCTGAGTGCTGGTTGGCTTGAGTGTGTGTGTGGCCCGTAAGGGCACTTGTTGATTCGTTCGGCCCTCAGGGCCGGTACTTACCGTGGTCGTGGAATTGAGGATTGCAGCGGGGGAAAACACTCAAGTGGCGGGGAAAAAGGCCGCAGCACTTGAAGCAGCGGGGAAACACTCAAGTAGCAGGTAGGCCGGTAGCACACCCTGAAGCGGTAGATGTGCCAGGTACTGGAGGCCGGGCAGAAGAAGACAAAAGTGGCATTTTTAGAGGCCCAGTAGTTGTAGGCTAGGTCTAGGCGGGTACCAGTCTGAGTCTAGGGCCTGTACGGGCAATATCAGAGTCTCCAATGATGTTTCCCTCCGGAAGGGAGGAGGTACCGGTTGCTGGGAAGGCCGAACGGCCTGGAAGTCACCGCCCAAGAGGCAAGCAGGCCGCTATATCTCCAGGCCGGGCGAAGAGCCCAGCCTCATTGTCGGTGTGCAAGTTTGGCGACACACTGGTTGGAGCGCTGGCTGGATTACCGCTAGCATGGAGCAGCGCTGCTGGGGAAGAAGCAAGGACTTGGAGGAGGAAGAAGGACAGGAAGGGGGAGGAGTGCCAGAGGTACTTACCTGGCTATGGTGGCAGCCATCTTCATCACCTTGGTGGGCGCTGCAGCAGGGAGACCCCAGCTGGGGAGAGCTACACCAAGAAGCTTTGAGGCAGAGTCAGGCATGGTGGCCTGAGCTAGAGCAGCCATAGCTGCTTTGCGTTGTCCTTTGCAGCACAGCAGGGCAAGGCCCAAGCAGTCCGCCATAGCCTCGACCTATGAGAGTGAAGAGTGAGGGAGGCGGCCATGGCTATGGTGGACCTCAAGTGATACCAGCAGTAGAAGAGGGATTCGGACTTTGATTCTGGTTCAGCTATTCAACATTGTATTATTATTTCTTGTGTGAATAAGAGAGGAGGAAATAAGGAGGAAGAGAGGGTTGAGCGAAGAAGAAGAGCTTTATCATTTGTCTATGCTGGTGTACATCATCTTCTTCTTCTTTCTTACTTCTTCTTCTTCTTCTAACTTCTTACTTCTTCTTCTTCTTCTAACCTCCTCTCTCCTCTCAAGTTCATTCATTTCTTTCTGCAATTGGACGGCATTGTACTATCTGATGAATGTGTATCTCGAAATTCGCCAGGATCATAACAGAAAGCAGAATTGCAAACCTGAAAGCACACCAAATGAGAACACACTGACAACAAAGTCTTTTGATAAAGAAAGCCCAACTTCTGGGCTCTGTTCAAAATACGAGCACAATGTAGCAGCTCTACTATGACGTGACCCTCTACATTATTTGCCTACTATCTCTATACACAGCCTGCTCTCCCTCACACTCTCCCTGTCCACTCTCCTCTCGCCTTACAATGCTGCAGAGTGTGACCACCAAGAGTGAGCTCTTTGGCCATTGCCAGGTAAGTCTCCCTGTTCCCACAGCTGTCCTCCCTCGATCACCCCGGCCCCAGGGCCAACCTTCTTCCACCTCAGTGCAGCTATGGCTGCTGCTGAGCAGAGCAGATACCCCGTGGCTGCTCCTCCCCTTATTCATGAATGAGCTGGCCTGGCAGTGTGCACTCTCCACAGAGCTACCGTCTTCCCCCCCAACACAACGCACACTGATAACACATTTACACAAGATATCTTCCCAGTGCAATCAGACTCCCTTTCTTCTTTGCTTCACATACATGCAAACAGATGGCGATTCACACTGCCACACAGCTCCCACTCAAAACTCAGAGATATTGAAATTGAGAACTCAGTTCGGATGCAAACTTGCTTCCACAGGGTATGGCGCATAAGCGCCTACACATCCAACCCTCGATACTGTTCCCAACACCACCGTTCACACTTACTTAGCTCTGGATCACCCTGAATACCCCACACACATCCCTCTCTGACACACACACACACACACACACTATTGCCTAACTACCTCCTACAACG